GCACGGCAGTTACACATACCGAGCATTATAGGGCCGGACAACTATTTTACATACTATATGGAGAGAGTTGAGTCAGTATCAATAGGTAAGCATATCTTCAGATTATTTTTGACTCCCAGTTACATTCAGTTATTATATCATCAGTTCAGTTTTAGCTTTCAGTTATTCTGTTACCTTACATAGTCAGTACATTATTTGTACTGACATCCCTTTACTGGGGACGCTGCATTTCATGCCTGCAGGTCCTGATAGACAGCTGGATAGACCTTCCCAGTAGACAGAGCCAAATATCAGCTTGGTTGGTAAGCTCCACTTCCCCGGAGTTACCAGGTCTAGACCTTGGAGTCTGTTTTATATATACAGGTTTGATGGGTAGGTCGAGGCCCTGTCCCGACCATGATACAGTTCAACTATCTCTAGAGGCTTGTAGACAAGTCCTGTATAGTTTGTATATCAGTAGATATTCATGGCGGCCTCGTCAGCCTGCATATTTATATATAGATATATATATTTAAATATATATGAGTTTTTGGGTATGTTTACCCCTCAGATGAGAGAGATGATATTTTCAGATAATTCAGAATATGGCCTCATCGGCCTAGGTTGAGGGTTACCCCTCTAGAGTTCATAGTTACAGAGTGGCACGCTCGGGTCGAGTATGGTACCGGGTGCAGGCCACGTCTCTTCAGGTTTGGGGCGTGACAGCCCCGCTTACTGAAGTTAATCATCCCTCCACGGAAGATCTTGGGGGAATAAAGATTCATCATGTGAGCTAGGGATAGCTCCTCCCCCGTTTCTTGGCACAGGTGCCGAAGGCAAGCAATTATCCTCCACACCGAGGGACTCACCTGTGCCAAACATACTTGGTAGCGGAGGCAAAACTCCACAATAACAGAATCAAGCTCTCTACTCAGAGAAAATGTCCCCAAAGTGAAGGGATACGTATAGAAGTACGTAAAACCCTTCTTGGGTAAGGTTACCCACTCCGCTATATCAGGAGCAATAATGCTTAAATCCTAGCAGTTACAATCTTCCTTCACAACAGGAATGCTGGAAGGATGGATGGAAGAAGGATATCTGCTAACAGCCCATGTACGAGAGCTAACAGAAAGAAATTTCTCTTCGAAGTCTTTAGTTGTGACAAGACTTCTAGGGATGATAGTGCTCACTGTAGGAGGAGCGGCTTCATCGGCTTTGTTTTTGTTCTTTGAGGAACTGATATTTTTTGAAGAAGAAGCCATTATATGTTATAGAATAAGGAAATGTTTTTCTCGTATGAGGAGAGTTAATGAAATATTGAAGAACAACGTACAAATTGAACGAAGAGAGTTTGGAGAATTATGGGTGTGAATGAAGGAGATTGATGCATATAAGTAAAGATTTATGTGCCTAAATTCGTGGCCATAATTATCTTGATAATCGAAAAAAGTTATGTTGAATCGTGGGATGGCGAGTATTCGGGGCATTAAATGCGGAAAGACGTACGTCTAATCAACCGTCAGAAGTTTTTCAGATGGGGTTAGAGAAATTTCCGCTAAAAAGAATGTTTCTACCAACTTCCCGGTGACACAAAGTTATGTCATCGAAAAGCATGGGGGCTATCTGTATAGGGTAAAATATGCTATGTTAGGTAATTACATAAGAGGATGACACGTGGAACCGAAGGCATATGATAGCTAAGGCCGAAGACAACTGTTTCATTTATTACCGGAAAGAATGATGCTCATAAAGATGCACTAAATGCTTGCCACCCGGTAGTATTTAATAGAGAATATTCTACAGCATTTAATATACTGCATGTTACAAAGAATTTGTCATTCATGCTCACTGTTACACATTGTTCAATGGCCCTCATAATTGACATTAAAGAAGGGTATGATTCTAAGACTTTGTCCTCTAGGAGCAACTATAAATAGTGAGCTCTGTTATTATTGTAAAGGACACGAATTTTCTGGCAAACTTATGCTATAATCTATTCAAAACTTTATACAATTTTACCTTATTACTTTTTGATTTCATTAATGTTGTGCCCGGAAGCCTTGCTCCCGAAACTACTGTTTATGCTATTTCATCTTCATCTCAATGCTTAGTATTATATATTTGTTCAATTCTTTTATTATTTCATGATCGAATTAATTTATTTGTATAGAAACCACGTATAAATTCAATTGTACCGTTTTATGGAAAAATAGTAACAACCATCCAAACAAGCTGTTAACTACTACCCTTTTTCTCAACAAATCATTATCACCCCCCTTTAAGATTAGCCTAAATAAATTTCCTAAATTCATCCCTTCAAATCATTAATCTTTCATAATCACTCTTTAGTCTTTACCATAACAGCCATTAAGACTTTGTCATTGTACCCAATAAATTACTGCCACGTCATCCTGAATGACGCATCGCCCATCCCATCTTAAAATCCCACCCACTTCCACTTTTTCCCAAAAACAAAGTTTTCGCTTATTTATTCGCACCAATTTTCATCATTATCATCGGTGGAACTTTTCGACCGGCGGTAGGTTTAATTTTCCGACATACGGTGGTCGGTGGCGGTTCAGATCGATAGAAATGGCGGAGGATAAGTATAATCTGAAAAATCCAGCGGTGAAGAGAATACTACAGGAGGTTAAAGAGATGCAATCTAATCCTTCCGATGATTTCATGAGCCTTCCTCTCGAGGTTTCAATTTTAATCCTTGATTTTCCAAATATTTACGAAAATTTACCCTATCCTTTCATGATTCATTTGTTTTTTCTCTTTGGACCTGTGGTGGATCTAGAATTTACATGTAGTACGCTGTTTGCTTTCTGGGATTCAAATCAATTGGTGTTTGATTAAAAGGTTTAACTTCTTATTTGAATTGAAATTATAGTGCGAAATTTCCTAATCTCTATTGGTTAATTTTAAAAATTCCGAATTTATATAGTCTGATTTAGCTCAGAAATTTAGTCGAACTTACTGGCCATGAGCAAAAACTGTAGATATATTCGAGTGGAAGTGTAGGTAATTTGCTGGATCATCTGAAAGTTGGTCAAATTTACTGGCCGCAAGCAATAACGATCAAATAAATTGGAAAATTTGTCTGTTTGTGCACATGTAGATGTATGTAGGGTGTGTCGGGGAGAGGGGTTATATTTGTTTGTATACGGTTTGCTTTTTTACTGTGGAAGTAAGGTTTGATGGTTTTCCGAATTGGCAAGGAAGGGGTTTTGTTGATTCAATTTTATTACATTCTGATTTTAAGGATAATGTTCCTTTTCATAGCTGTTTCTGCTTGAATTTTTTGGTTGTTCATGTTGAGCTGATAATTTTGATTTCTTTTTTATCCATTTAGGCCTTTGGCTGAGTTAGTGATGCTTCATGTTCCATATTTTCTTCTGGATTCATTTTATACAACTTACCAATTTGGTTTTACAATGCTGTTTTGCATATGTTATTTGTTATTTTCCTTTAGTTCAGCTGTGTGCAAATTGTCTATCCTCTAGCTGGACAAGTTCATCCTGTTGGATATATTTTATCATGTTTTTGCATTTACTTCAAGGATTGTGTGTGAACTACTGACTCAATTGAAGACTAGTTAAGTTCGAATATATGAGGTCTCTATGTCAAGCAGTATTTAGAGGATTGGACATAGCTAGATTAATTTAATGCTTGTTGTACCTACTACAATTTCTTTTCTTTTTATGATGGTGGTGTCCTGACCGGTTTGCGCATCTATTCCACCGGGCATCTGCTACTTCCCACAAACATAGGTCTAGGTACCAGGTATCTCTGCCAATCAAGGCTTAGGCAATTGGGAAGAAATCATCTGGTGTTCTCCGCTAGGATTTGAACCTGAAACCTCATAAGTCATTATTATCCTCCCACTTTATTGGCCACAGGCCTTAACCTTGGGTGCTTGTCACCTATTAACCATCCTTTGTATTCATTTTACTCTATTCCGGCCTATTTCATTCTTATACTATAATTTGTCAATTAGGGCAAATTAGAGATTTTTTAAAGCTAGAGGTTCTCTAAATCTCACTTTTATTCCTACGTGGATGTACAAGTCTTAAAATTTGAAACTACTTCGACAAATCCTTTTTTGTCGACTGCTGAAATAAACAAATTACAAATTGGACAAGGCAGCAACTCTTGATTTGTACTATTTAAAAGATAATAGTGGTCCTATGCCCATGATATAAAACTCTTAAGCTTCGATAAAATTTGGCTTAGTGGTTTTTGTATTCTAAGTTCAAATATGTCAAAGGATTATGGTTGATCCTGCTTAAGAATCAACCTCACTAACGATGAATGAGCTCCGTGCTCTTCTAGCTCATTTTAATGCTGTTCTGTTGTTATGATATAAATCGGTCAAGATTTGATTTTGGGGCATTTTCCTTCCCTTATGAGGTGACAGTATGTATTTTGGATTCTTGAATCCATCACTAGTAAATGGATTTCATCATAATAACGTTTGTAGATATTGCTTTCAGAAATATCGTATCTTGCATCACATTCTTATGACAAATGACTAGTCATCTTCTATTAACAAGTTATTTTTTAATTGTTGAAGTTGTATGATGACAGTACAACTTAAGCTGACTTTTATGTTACTTTTTCAGGAGAACATCTTTGAATGGCAATTCGCAATCAGGGGTCCACGAGATTCTGAGTTTGAAGGGGGGATTTATCATGGACGGATCCAGTTGCCTGCCGAATATCCTTTCAAGCCTCCTTCTTTCATGCTTTTGACTGTAAGTTTCTTGCTGTTTTAAAAGCTAGTCTTACTACTTAAAGTCATTTTATGGAATAAGTTTTAGTAGAGATCAGAATGGGGCGAGTGATGCTGGTCAAACCTCACCTGCCACAAGCGGGCTTCACAGATTGGGTTGGGCAGGGTGCTAATTAATTTTGATGCGAAAAAAGGATAAATAGCAGGCCTCTTGGGAAAAAGAGGCTAAGGAGATTTGTCATTCAAGTGGAACGTAAGCAAATCTTAGGAAAGTCTTACCATAGGATAAGATCTGACTGATGAGTAGTGAAGGAAAGTCGATTTACTTGTACTCTCTTTTGTTTTGCATCTTTTTGATGCCTTTAATGAAAGTCTACTTCATAAAATAAAAAAATGAGTACTGAAGGATGTCGTTCCTTTGCTTCACGTGCAAATCTGGAATATGTTTTTGAAGTGTGACCCAAGTTCCCTCCCACTACATAGTTTTTCTCGGGAGGGTAGCGAAAAAGATTGTAAAAAGCAAACAAAAGGAAAAAGCATGAAAAAGAGAAGATATGGCATTGTTGGGAGCAGTGGGTGGTCACGTGAGTTGTGCATATTGTGGGTTGGGATAGTCTACTAACGGGAGAGCCAAACCCTATCCCATTCCATTGCCATCTGGGTTTAGAGTTGATTCATTTCATGTTTAATAATCTGCTAACTCATGGTTGATTCTCTTTTCAGCCCAATGGACGTTTTGNTCCCTTCTTGAAATTATATGGTCCTGTGCTTTTAACCTGTGGCTGTATTTCGCGGAGTGTACTTAAATTTGACATGAGGCTGTGTTGATGGTTTTAAAAGTCAGAAGATATGATTGAATATGTGGTATAGCTTTTTTATGATTGCTGTTGGTGTCCTGTACTTGAGCAAAACAAAAATGCAAACACCCACAGTATGCAAAAATCTCAATCAAATAGTAGAGTGTGAGCAACCCATATGGATTGGCGACTATTTACAATACATTATTGGCCTGCAATTATTATTCTTTTGTTGTATTGACAAGAAAAAAGCAGTTTGCAGTGCGCAAGCTATTGTGTGGTTTAGTCTTTTGTCTTAATGGATGCTGCTTTCCATCTTTTGGTCAGACGGTAGCTAATCAGCGTTTAAATATCTTATGATTTGCAGTTCGGACTGCGCTGGTAGCTCTGATTGCATTTATGCCCACCAACCCAAATGGTGCCCTTGGATCACTAGACTATACAAAGGAAGAAAGGCGTGCTTTAGCTATTAAATCTCGTGAAACGGCTCCAAGATATGGAACTCCCGAGCGCCAGAAGCTGATTGACGAGGTATAACATTATCTGAATATCATTTTGATATCCAATCCATCGTCTGCAGGCTCAAGCGATAATAGTTGATTTGTTTTACAGATACATGAATACATGCTAAGCAAAGCACCCCCAGTTCCTCAAGCTACTTCCTCGCCAGCTCCTGAAGAACAGAACATTAATGGACAGGATGAGGTCCAAGAGAGTCCTGAAAACCCCAGCGCCGCTGCTGAGGAAAGGCTTCATAATCCATCTGATGCTAACACAAATATTGAAGAGAGACGCGAATTGGCTTTAGATGCAGAACCTGTACGGGCACCTATAGAGCTCCCTGCTGCACGGCCAAGCGAGCCTCGGGTACTGCATACACCTCAACAGAGCGTTTCGAGGCAGGCTGATGACCGTATATTTACATGGGCAGCAGTTGGACTTACAATTGCTATACTTGTACTTCTGTTAAAGAAGTACATGAAAGCTAATGGCCATGGTGCTGTCTTCATTGATGAATCGTGAATCTACCAACAGTAAATATGCAGTTCAACTGGGAATATGTTTGGCAATTTACTCCAATTCGGCAAGCTTATCCAGGAAATATGTAGTATATTTATCCCTTTGCCGTTGTGACGTCAATTATATAGATCGTGTAAACATGAATTACCATATGTTATTTTGACAGAGTTCTTGTATAGATAAAAGATGGTCCTTTTTCTGAGATGCGAAGGATCATGTGAAGAAGTTAAGATGAAGTAAAGAAATTTAGTTTCACATTAGCTTGCTTCTTTCTGTTCGAAACGTGTATAAAGAATATTTATGGCTATTTTCAAGTAATAATAATATATATAATAACATGGATGTGCTTGTCTTAAGTTTAGAGTAGATAAAACAGATTGATAGGTAATAAGCTAATTCATTTTTATAATAGAAACAAGGTAATATACAATCAATACTTATTTCTAATCTGCCAACTATTTCACTGCAAAAGTTTGATGATTATTCCGAGTCACTAAATGAAATCTTATAATTCTGTATCTTAGGAGCTTTAGTGTTTGGCTGCATTTGCATCAACTTTTTCATGAATCAGCAAGGTTGCAGTGGAATGAATAGGTTTCCTTCATCCATAACCAGAAGTCTCGGGTTCGAGATTGTGGTGGCATGAATAAGATCCCTTCACTCATGAAATCTCGGATTCGAGCCTCTTCATCCATAACCAGAAGTCTCGGGTTCGAGATTGTGGTGGCATGAATAAGATTCCTCCACTCATGAAATCTCGGATTCGAGCCTCTGGAAGTGAAGTAAATCTAGGTAAGGAGCACTCCTTTAATGGAATAATTTGGAATCTGCATATAATGGTGTACCAAAACGAAAATGATGAAAGGAGATTGAAAACTCAAATTTCTCAAGCGTGGTGCAGTAAAAATGCAAGAAAAGAAAATAAAATTGCAGAAAAAACATAAACTACTAAGAAAACAGTCAAGCCTGCAATTCCTTAGGAAGTCTTGTTTATTTTCTGGCAACATACTTTCCACATAGTTTTCTTCTTGTATCCATTAACTTTCTCACAAAGTCCACTATAATAGAAATCCTTGACATCAAACTCCACATGAAGCTTATGGAACAGTTGAAAAATCTCTTCATCATTATATAAACTGCTGTCCAAAATCTCCCTTTGTATTAAATGGCTTGCATCTTTTGCAGACCTTACAAGAGATTTCATGAAGTAAACGTAAGACATAACGTGTTTCGAATCAATGTTACTGTGAGCCCGTAAAGGAGTTGTGGATACTGTTGTACAAACATCAGACGCTGGATATCTCACTCGCAGACTTGTTGAACCAAACTGCTCCAATGCCATCAGATTTCTGAATAAAATCACAGAGTAGTTGTGTATTTTCAAAGATGGAATTTCCAATACTTTGTCTTTGGTAAATCTAACATTCATAACACTTTCACTTATTGCTTTCTTGAACTTGATCCCTACAGCATGAAGATGTAGTACATTGTGCAAATGTTTTTGTACGCCATTTGGTTGAATTTGAGGAATCGTTGGGAGATAGCATTGGTGAACTAAGTCCAATAAATGGTGAACTTCAGGGCCAAATTTATCTATAGATATGAGTCCTTCACCTGGAATTAATTTTCTAAAGAAGAGTAAAGCAAGTTGAATAAGGGAATAATTACATTCTTTAGGAATTGGAACTAAGTGAAATATTTGGTGTAGAACAAAAAAAGGGATTTGATTTTCGAGTAGAATTAAGTCACATCTTAATCGAAAAAACATCTCGTAATTGCTAAAGAATATATCATCTCTACGTCGATAACCCTTTAAAGCAAGCTTGAGAAAAAGCTCAATGAGAAAGCCACAATCAAGTAGCATCATTTGGACAAATTTATTACTTCCAATTTGATCAATTGTGTTTTCTCCATAGCATTTTCTTGCTTTCTCCTCTAAATTTCTAAGTGCTTTCACACAATTCTCTAAAATGGTTTGTGTATTTATTGGTTTTCGACTAACGAGCGTGTTGAGATAACACCACTTTTGTTCCTCCATATTCTTAAGTGTGTCAACTCCATGGTGAAAAGGACCTATTGAGACTAATTTAGGAGAGTAACTATTTTCACTTCCCTTTTTAACTTCTTGAGGAACTCTGTTGATACGATGAAAATTTGAGATATTTTTCATCTTTTCGCCAATTGATTGTACAAGATCTTCTTCTTCTTCTTGCACGATATCGAGTAATACATGATCTTTGTTTTTGATATTTGTGTAGGATATATCTTCTTCTTTCATCTTTCCTTGAGACATTACTAGAATTGGCTCCCTCCAAAATCGTTATTTCATTAGATCTTATAAATGAATTAACCAAACCTCTGCAGAAAAAAAAAAACAAATTCAAAAACCTTGAATTTGTACCACCCACCCTCAACAACCGCCTTAAGCATCGACGAATTCAAGATTTAGAGTCAGTGCGTTCTGCTTTTTATATATGTCCCAAATTTTTAGACGGTCAACACACATATATAGTCCGAGCAAAATATAATGAATTATGTTGATTCCAATGTGTCTAATCTAAATCCTCCACTGCCCCTAAGGTGCAAAAGAAAGAAAAAGAGAAACAAATAGATGGAATTAGTGGTTGAAAAGATTGAAATAAGTTTACCAGATGAATGCAGCAATGATACTAAAGAGAAATAATCCAAATATGTTGATGATGACAAACCATAAAATAGAGGAATATGATGATTGGTAGGTGTTATATTAATTGTGTCTAAAAATAAAATTTTATATCTTCTTATGAGTTTCACAGATAGGAGAATTCATTTGTTTACTTCATTTAGAGAAAAGCATTTGTTTTGTCAGAAAGCAAAGAATTAATACAAAGAAAAGCTTATTAATTACTTCTCTAAGAATCTTGAATTGGAAACAGCATTGGAGTAACAAAAGAATATAAATATTCTTAGACTTTGTTTTTAAGTTGCATATATGTAAAGCTACTGTCTTTTCTAATGTTATTAGTCCTTTTGTATTTAGAAAAATATAGCTTTCGACTTGCAACTTTGAATAATTTTGACACAGAATTTTAATTTTTTGAGTTAGAAATTTTTTTTTCTTATTTTTTTAATTTCAATTACTAATAACGCTTACTGCCTTCAATTTTTAGAAAATACTATTCCACTAACCAAAACTTAATTAAGTTTGCTAGTAAACTTCGTGAGTTTATTGATTAGTGCAACTTCTGTACTAATAATCTGTAATTGTAACCTTCACCATATGATGAAATTTCTGACCTTGACCAATTATTTGTTTGGTTAAAGTTACATTTTTGTTGTTAAACTAATATTTCATAACACAAATAATTCATCATCTTTCTATCTATTTAAAGGCTCTTGATTACTAATAAATATTACATCCGTTTCAAATTAATTAGAATGAATTTTTGACTATTTACCCTTCTTTATGTATTTAATATAATATCTCTTTATTATATTTACTTTATTTATGTGCCATCTCCATCTTCAAGAATAATTACTGCTTGGGATAAAATGAAAAAAAATTAATAATTTAGTCTTGAACTTCTGAAATAATAAATAATTTGAAACATCTATGTTTAAAGATTTCGATAAATAATTTGAGACAGAAGGAATAGAAATTAATTCCTTCATATTAGTCGTATATTGACTTATTTTAACTCTAATTTCTCATCTAACTTTACTTTTTAGAATAACAATAGTACCAAATAAATAAATGAAAGAACCAAAAATAGTAGTTCTTTTCCTCAAATTAAAAAGTAGTAGCAGTTCTTTATTTTTGACTTTAGTGCCTTGAATGCAAATCTAACATTTAGTTGTGAAACTTTGAAATAATGTCAAAATTAGTTCTTATATTTGATCCTAAATATTAGGATTTTGAATTATAAAAGGAAAATTTTAGTTGATTTAGAGTGTGTTTGGTATCCAATTTTTTCATGTTTGGTTGGCTTAAATGTTTTGGAAAATATTTTCCTTATGAACTCATTTTTCTCCAATTGGAGAAAAATATTTTCCTTATCAAGAGAGGGAAAATATTTTCCAAAACTCCTTCTCAATCTTCCCCACCCCACACCCTCACACCCACCTACCCCACACCCCATGCCTACCCACCCCACACCCTCTCTCCAAAAAGGTCTTTTTTTTTCAAATTTCAGTTAAAAAAAAAAATTGGATTTCAAATTCCAAATAGTAATTGTAAGCATATAAATTTTATTGGAATTAAATCCGTAAAATAATTTGGACTATATTTTAAATTCAAGATATATTAGTTCAAATAAATTTATTTGGTTATATAATTAGATTAATTATATAAGTCCAACATATATGGATTAAATAAATAAGTCTTAATCTATTGGGCTAGCCCATTTAATTGGGCTAAAGTGATGAGCCCACTTCATTAAGCCCAAGATATCATCTTTCTAGAGGCCCAGTTTGGTGCCACGTGTCAAATGACGTGGCACGCCAAGTCAAACAGAAAAGCCAATGGGATCATGCTATGTGTCAAAATGACAAGGCATGCCAAGTCACATTAAAAAGTTAAGTGACATGTTCTAACCAATCAAATGCGGCCTTGTCATACTTCGATTTGATTGGTCAGAAAGAGTTTGTTCTTATCATAACTCTTTCCTCCTACAACTATAAATAGGGGTCTTCATAACCCAGAAAAGACACCAGAAGTTATAACAAGAAGCAAGAGAGAGCTCGTGGATCAAACGCCGCAAATTTCTCTACAAGTTTCAAGCTTCAAGTAATCAAGTTCAAGTTCAAGAAATCAAATTCAAGCTCAAGAACGAAGAACAAGTCAAGATTCAAGGAGTACGAGTTCAAATCAAAGTTCGTGCTAGTTGAATTCAAGATCATCGTTCGTGGAAACAAATATAGATTCAAGATCAAGCTCAAAGGCCCTTGAATTTATTTACTATTGGAAAGAAGAATCAGAGGATTCATAGAGATTGTACACTCAAATATTTGAAATCAAATACTACGATTGTTGCAATATTTTTCAGTCTCAATTATTTTCTCAACGCAATTTATTGTCTACAAATTCTGGCACGCCCAGTGGGACAATCTCTACCTCTCATCTCAACTTTTCAAATCACCAAAGTTCAAGAACATTGAAATGGCTTCAAAGAAAATCAACTCCAGTTCAACTTCCACCAAGGCTGCTAATTCCAGGTTCTATGCTGATGTGGAAAGCATCCTCGATGTTACCTTTGGAAGCTTTGGACCAGTTACGAGGAGC